AGTATGTTAATAATGAGATAATGAACATGAATTTTGTCGTAATTAATAGCTTTAAAAGCCGTTTATGAAACGTGTTTATTATAGCTATGATATAAAAAAATCGAAAATACCTGTATTTAAGCTTCAACGGGCGTAAATCAAACTGGAAGTAAGTTCAGTGGGAGTAAGTCAAATTTTCATATTTCATATTTTGGAGTAAGTCGCTGAACTTCCCCCTCCTCAAAAAATTTGTAACGAAAACCCTGCAACTGTAAGTAAATAAGTCTGTACCCTTTTCTCAAGACCAGATAAACTGGACATTCCCTAGGGTACGCATGCAAAAAAATTTATTTGTGACTCGAAATGCGCGATTAAAGGATTTAGAAAATCTTTATAAACAACAAACATTAACACTGGAAGAATATCTTGAAAAAGTGATGCGATTATCTGGTATCAATATGATTTTCATTTATTTATCGTTTGTGTTGTTTCCTGTTCCTGTTTATTTTCAATAATAGACAGTGTGGAGACATATCCGATCGGGATATCATTTTTTTCGACTAAAATTTGTTAAAGGTTTTTGTTCGAAAAACTAGTTGCTGGGTGCTTGATACACTTTTGATCAAACACAACGAAAGCCGATGGAATATTTCCAGCTCTTTCTAATGGTGAAGCCAATTTTTCCCCAAAATCTCGTCATTTTTTCCTAAATCGTTCTTACGACGAAATTTTGTGTTTTATATCCTGATCAGGATATAGGAGGTGTCCCCTTACTGACAGATAACATGAAATATAGTGCAAGATATATCAGAAAAATCATTATGTTAAAGTTTAATACAAATAGAATAGATAGTGATTAATTTTCGTTTCTAACTGCATGTATATATACTTCATTTAGAATAATTCAGCGTTCTTTTTAATTAGTCTGTTTAAAAAAGCCTTATTAATTAGAATAATCTATATTCTAGTTCTAGTTTTATTTTTCGACAAAACAGGAATAGCTAAAGCTTTATTTTCGACGAAACAGGAATATTGATTAAGCTTTCGACAAAACGGGAATTCACCAGACTCAGACTATCAAAGTGAAAAAGTGTGACATTCGACGATAGGATATTTTTGCGATATCACACGAAAACTCACTTGTCTCAAACATATTTATTACAATTAGAAAAGCAAGTAGTTAACACCACAACAATTACAAAGAAAGTATTGAGGTTGGAGTCCTGATGTTCAATTGATTCGTATTTCCTTGCAAAATCTTGGTAATTATGATCACATATTACATACAGAAAACTCCACTTAGTTCCAACAAATAGAAGATTGTGATCGATCTAAAGTGAAGAACTCATGCTAAAAATGATAACTGACATGAAATACCTACACTAATTCCCTATATCTGTCAGTCCGTCAAGCTTTTATGCTAGACGGTGCTACAATCAATGTGAAACTCAGAAAAGGTATGTTTGAAAACGACTCTAAATGAACTTTTTTTTTCATTATTTATCATTTTTAGCAAACTATTATAACTTACTTTGGTTAAAAACTTGAAACACCTAAAAATGATCCCGTACAGTTTTGTACGGAATCTGCCAGTTACTTTACTAAAACGAATCGAATAAAGGTAAATTTAACAAAAACAAGTGCGAAAATTTAACGTAACAGCATTTTTAATCGCCAATCAATTTGTCCGTATAGTGTTTCATTAAATTCGATGTATTTCCTCTCAGTTGAGATCGTTCATTCAATAATCTTTGTGCAAGTAATCGATGTTGTTTCTCTGGAGAATGTACAGCTGAATGAATTAATAATAATGTAAATACATCTCGTTGTGCATTACTACCTCCAATGTTCATTATTTGCTGACGAATAGGGTATAAACATTCGACAACTCGATCATGTTGATCTAATTCGAAATAATCCAATGCTTGAAACATATGTTTACCCACCGTTTCGTAAATTCGTCTATTTTCATTATTATCAAAACCATTGTCACCAATAGTTTCTTTTAACGATTTTAGAAATTTTGTCTTCTCATCTGATGAATTCTGCAGTAGAAAATACAAATGTAAATCATTGAATACCAACAAATGATCATCTAAATGATGTTTAATAAATTTATCTACTGATTTGTTTTCTAGAAGTTTATTTTCACAATCAACGCCACATAATTTCAAACGATAAAACAATGAACCAATATCAACAAAATCCAACATCATCAATTCGCTATTATTATTGCCTAATATTTTTTTAAATAAAATATTTGAGGCAATTTCATAGTCACCCTGTTCAAATTGATATAATGCCCAATGCCAATAATTATGCTTTGATAACCATTCACATTTGGACCAGTCATGTTCGGTTGAGGACATAAATTCGATGCCAGAGCATGTATTACCTTTAACGGCAGCAACAATTTATTATTCTTCACTACAACAACTATAACATGTCACCTACCTCGATATTCATAGGAATGAGCTATAGCATGCGTTGCCCAAGCATCATTTTCGTTTAATTCCAAACCTTTCCGTGCTTGTTGTTGTGCTTCATCTAGCATGTTATTTTCGCCTAAACCAAATGCATGCATTCCATACAAATAGGATGATAGTGGTAATGGTGTTGACTTCGATTCCCATATCGGTATGAGTCGAGCTATTGAGTCTCGTATCATTTCCTTATTACCATTAAAGAAATATGTATCATGCGCCATTTTAATTGCTAGAATATCGTGTGGATAATATAAAAGTAATTGTTCCCATGTATTGGCTGCATGAGAGAGCGATCCTTGTGCCCATTCATTGATCGCTTTGACATGAAGTGTTAAATAATTTTTATCATTTGTTTCACTCAATTTTTTTTCAAATGTTTGATTTAAATGAGCTAATTTCGATGATGATGAATTTCGATAAGGTACACTTGTTGATAATAGTTCAACACCAACAGAAAATACTTGACTTAGAACACAATTTGGATCAGATTCAAATAATTTTTCAAAAGTATTCTCTAAACCGTTAAGTTGTGGTTCATTGTACCAGCCAATATATTGTGATAGAGCGGCATCAAATAACTTTGCCGTTTCATTACTAACAGCATCTAGAGGAATACCATCTGAATGTAATTGAGATAAATCACGCCATTGAGAACGAAACGGCATCACTCAATCTAGAAAAATAAACAAATGATCAATAAATCATACGACAGTTAAATAAGCGTTTAAAACTAAATACTAAGCACTTATACTCTCTAATAAATCACACAGATATAAGTCGTTGATAATGGGTGGTCAGCATTTTTCTTTTCTGTTCTGCTTTAAAAAAATCATTTTACGCGAGTTGATGATTTTTCATACAAATATTATCTGTCAAAAATGCATAAAATAACTTTTTTTGATGAGGAAATGAAGTCAGTGAGCAACGTTCACCGAAGCGTATCACAGTTTAAAAAGAATTGATATATACAACTGGAGGTGTTCAGTTGGCAACTGGAAGCATCTGAAAACTTTTTCGCCTCCAGCGGCGACTGATCGTTTTTTTTTAAGGTACCGATAATCCAAAAATCGAGCAACTTTTTTTTCGTTTTTTTTGATTTAGTTGTTATCTAGGAAAATATCGATTTAGTTTTTAAAAAGTATTTTATGTTAAAAAAGATTAAAATATGGAACCGATAACCCCCTTGGCTGGCAAAACTTTCAATTTCGAAAAAAATTCGTTTTTTTCAGTAAACAAAAAAATACAATTCACACTCGATCTGTAACTCCCCTTTCCCCTCCCACCCCCTACATATAGGGAATAGAATGGAAGCGGAAGAATTGTTCCATCTTGTATCTATAAAGACGTGATTGATTTGCAAGGGAGACTGATAGCAATTGAGTGGTTTGGCGCATATTCCATTTTTTTATTAACTTCTAACTTTTTCAAATTTGTTTTTCTATACTCGGCTTTGCATGGGGAAACCGAATAAAACGGTCAAAACCGATGAAAAGAACGATAAATGAAGAAATTTTGCTTATTTTTGAAAATTCCGTATTTTAATCTTTTTTAACAAAAAATATCTTTTAAAAAAAATAATATTGGTGTTTTCCTAGATAACTCGATGCGCTCTATCCAACTAAATCAGGAAAAGCGAAAAATAAATTTGCCCGATTTTTGGATTACCGGCACCTTACTTAGGTACAATTTTTCTACAAAAAGCCGCTACCTACAAAATGTTTCAAGGGTTTCCATTGACGGTGCTGAGAACTTACACTTTTGGGCCGCGTTCGGTGTCGGCGGCTTATTGGCTGACGCGGCTGTATACAATGTGTTAACAGAAATACTCTGAGAAAATAATAAAAAAAGCGTAACAAAATAATCACGTGCGATTTTTAAATGTTTCTACACCTTTCATCGCTATAATATGACTGTGCAAACTGAAAAAAAATAAAATTACTTTTCGATAAGAGCAGAAACTAGTTCACTATCTTGTCAATATTCTTGTAAGATTCTTGTTTCTTGGCTAAATTTTCTATATTATTGAAAATTACTTTTCAACGATCTTGTTCTGTAATTTTTGCAAGAATTTTACAAAGTAAAAAGTTTACATGTGATCCTTTTTAATTTTGAACGCATCTAAAGACTTGATTGCCTTTGATAAGAATCTTGAAAGATATAAAAGAATTTTCGTGGACACTTATGTGTAATATTGTAATTGTAAGGTATATGTAATATACGGAAATTGACAAAATGAACTGGTAATTTTCGTTGCTTTAGACAATACTAGTCGATGATCGACTCGGTTTGAAAGGTGGGATGCAGTATTATTAGCACTGAATTAGAATTGAAATCAGCTCAGAAAATAATGAAAATTACTTTCCACAAAAAGTTTTTTTCTTCTCTTTTGCTTTGTACTGATTCAGAACTGAATATCCTTATCAGTGCTGAGTCAAGTAACCACATGATGTTGAGAACTTAGGAAGTGCGCTTGATAATAATAGTAATATTATCCTACTGAAGATAATACTGTTCTTAAATATCTATACAAGTCAAAGTTATCTAATTTTTGCACTATTCTAAATTTTCCTATAAGTTTATTTACATGAACCTATCTCTCTTCCAACAACTGATCTAGAGCTGAAAATCTGGCCGAAATCACCCATGTACTAGAAATCGACAATTAATCGTTTTAATTTTTTTTCTAGATATCAGGTTCGAACCCACCTTAGGAAATACATATTTTCTCGTCTTTTCATTGTTTATTATGTATAATGACATATACGTCACCCAACGATTATAGCACCAACTGAAGTCGGAGCCTTTCCAACGCGTCGATTTTAGGCATTGTTCAGACACCAGCTGTTCACTGAACTCCTCGGCTTAAAGCTCTGAGGGGTCATAGAGAAGACTCTTGATAACTCTGTTTTACTCTAAAATAAAAAGATGATCTAAATAGAAGTGTATTTCTCGATGAAATCGTGTTTCTAATATACATACCTTACTGCAAAATAAAGCGGTGAATAACAATAACCATTTAATCGCTTAAAATCGACAATTAATCACAATTAATTGACGATTTTTAAATCGGAGTCGCCAATTAATTGGAATTAATTTGCAATTTTTCAAGAATCGCGAATGATTGTTAAAAATGTCACGATTTCGCCCATATGTGTAGCTTTGAAATTTCAGAAATTGTCTTTTCCAATCATGATTCCGTCACCAGGTTTAGAGCTAAATGAGCTGATTAGTCTTGCGTCTCCGAACCAGGATTTTAACGAAGTCTGATTCAGCCCCAACAAAACTACATACCTGATTCAGTTTTTCCAGATCGAGCTGATCGCGTCGACTAGTATAAAAATTATTTCAGAAAAAGAAGTAGAAAACCAAGAAAAAAATAAAAGAATCTTGGCTGATCTAACAAGGCGAATCGACAGTCTCGTACAGTGGGCATTTTTCCATAGAGCAGGCGGACATCTCGTTTCGTTTAGTTAAAAAATGATTATTTCCGCATAATATGGTGTTATTATCGTCAAATATTAATAAAAGCAAAAAAACTCGAATTCAAAAAACATTTTTTTTTTCGAATTCCTTCGAGGGCGGGCCTCCCTTGCGCTGAATTTTTGTCAAAAAATATTTTATTTGTAAAATTAACAAATTAGACATCATACAATTCAATTTTTCATGTTGATTCCCAATATTACATTAATTTTCAATAAAAGTATTTCTCGGTTGAGAAAATGAAAAATACCTCAAAAACTAGCATTTTTTGGAAAATCTGTATATCGATCCAGGAGAATTTGCGCATTTTCGTGCATACATCGTGGATGCAAGATATGTGGACGAACATTTTGATGTAATTTTGAAGTCGAATTCGACTTTAGGAAAATTCAGGATTTTTACTGCACTGGAGACGTCAGCCGGAAACACTTCCGCTTAGGAAAATACCAATTTTCTCCTTAGCGCTTAACTCTGAGATAATATTTTTTACGTAAACAACAGAGGGATGGGTTAGAAACGTAATCGAAACAGCACAGATTCCGAATATGTGTACCTCATAACTTACTATATAGTCCAAAATATAAAAATAATTTTGCCGGTGAAGGACGCTTTTTAGCGGGTCTTTTTTCACTTATAGGTTTTTTCGGAAATTTATCAGTGGGAACAAAAAAAATTTCTCCATTAGATAGCCCATGCTCTGGAGTATTTATGAGGCTACTTTAATTTTGATTTTTCTCCAAATGTCCGCCTGCACGTCCACTAGGTCTCATTGATAGTTGACAGTCTCGTGAAAGTTGGCAAGATACATAAAAAACTTAATCCTCATTTTATTAAACCATAAAATAGGTTTTGTTAACACCTGATAAAAAATAAGACGTAAATATGCATCTAAAATATCCCAGAACCACCTACCACAAGATCTTAGAAGAGCTTACAAGATCATATACGATCTTGAAGGATCATATGATAAGAAATCACCAGATTTCAAAAGATCTTATAAATTCTTATCAGTTTCCTATAAGATCTTACAAGATTTCATATGACATCTTGTAGCAAGATTCTTATAAGATTTTTCTCATGACAAGGATGTACAAGATCTTGTAGGATCTTATAAGACCTTACAGAAAGAAGCTGTAAGAAATTATATGATCTTATAAGATCATACGCTTGATCATTTCCTGCCGAATGCCTCTATATTTCTGCAATTTTCTTTTTCTATATAATTTCTAACATTCACAGATCCCAGGTGGCCATAGGACCGTCTTTTCTCACGTTTCTTAACCATGCACTTCATATGTGCTCAGCTGACGTGTAAAATTGAAAAGAGAAAAGTTTTTCAAAGAGAATGATATTATTATATATATATTGTATATCGACGCAAAATTTATGCGATAGAGATGAGTCATCGATCTTATGACAAAAATTCATATGATCTTGTAAGATCTTACAAAATCTTGTGGTAGACATTGTTGACTTCTATATATCTTCTTGCCACAGAGTTATATAAGGTCTTACAAGCTCTTGTCACTTATAATCGGATCTCGAAAGATCTTACGACAAGAAGTTACAAGATTACATAAGATCTTACATTATCTTATAACACGATCTTGTAAGATCATATCGCAAGATCTTATTACAAGATTTCACAACAAAACATCAGATGTTGTAAGGTTTTATAGACGTGGTTCACATACGTAGAACAGGAGATAGTAAAGATCTTGGAAACGTTGCCAGTGTGGGCTTCGCGGGACTAAATATGGAAACTTCGACGTAAGGTGCACGTAATTCGAAGTTTCCACACCATTTTATTTTTAATTCAACCGCACATAGCTGGATAGTTCGAAAGCCAGTGATCACGAATATGTCCTTTTCAACCTCCCTAGTCCACTTCTTCGTGGAGAAAATTTCAAAACATTGTGAGGTGCTCCTTTTTGAAAAATCATAACTTTTCCAAAAAAATGCAATATCTCAGTTCCCGAGAACTTTGGTAGACCAATGAGATGATATTCGGAATCAGCGTAAAAAACTGAAT